TTTGCAGCGCCACCAGCTTATTTTTCTACCGCCTCCATAAGCTATCCCTGTTCTCAACTCAGGATCTGCCTTTCCCTGAGCCAACGCTGGGCTTTTGCCTTTAAGGGCTCGTGTTTTGCTTTGCTAAATCCTCCTGCCCTAATTCCAGCCAGCCAGCCAGCTCGGATCCTGCTTCCCTCCCACGTCCCCTCTGCCACAGCAGAGCTTCTTGGAGCCCCCAAGCCCAGCTCCCTGTGCCCTCAGACAGTGTCCCCAGACCCCTGCACATCCCCTGCACCCGGGGAGGAAGAGCACTGGGAGCCATGGGAAGGAAGTGGTTTTCAGGGCGGGGATGGAGCAAAGGAAACTTTCAGAGCCCCTCCGCCCAAACAGCAGCATCCCGAGCAGATTTCCTTCCTGCCTCGCCCCGCCAAATAACCACCAGCGCCAGATTGCTGGCAGCTGTATGCTCAATGCTCACACTGCTTCTCCTGGCGGCTGCCTCTCCAGGCTCACAGCCTGCTTGGGCTTTTTCCCCTCTCTGGCAACCATCACTCTGTGGGATCTCTGTGGATGCCAGGATGGTCTCTGCAGGGAGGACCCTGCTGTGCCAGGGCAAGGCTGGGCAGCCAAGCACCCAAGGGACAGGCTTGCTCCTTGCAGGGACAGCAGTCCCACTGTGTGCTCCTAGTGTAAGGGGCCAAGTGGGAGGTGGTACCCAGTTGGCAGGACCATGCTCCAGGCCAGGGACAGGAGGGAGGCAGGTCCTCAGGGCCCCCCTCAGCCCTTACCAACAGCGGGGGCATCATACTCATCCCCAAGCAGGATCTCTGGTGCCGAGTAGGCCAGGGAGCCGCAGCTGGTGGTGAGCATCTTGCCGGGCTGGAAGCGGTTGCTGAAGCCAAAGTCGGTGAGTTTGACCACCCCTTGCTCCTGGAAGAAGACCACGTTCTCGGGCTTGAGGTCACGGTGCACCACATGGAGCTTGTGGCAATAGGAGATGGCATGGACGATCTGGGCAAAGTAGTGCTTGGCCCGCGGCTCGGCCAGGCCACCCTCGTGCCGCATGATGTGGTCAAACATGTCCCCACCGTCACCCAGCTCCAGGATGAGGTAGAGCTTGGCGTGGGTGTCGATGACCTCGTAGAGGCGCACCACGTTGGGGTGCTGCACCAGCTTCATGCAGCGCACCTCCTGCAGGAGCTGCCCTGCCGCCTCCCCCGCCAGCTTGCTCTTGTCGATCACCTTGACAGCCACGCGCTGCCCAGTGAAGACGTGCCGGGCCAGCTTCACCACGGCAAAGTGGCCCTTGCCCAGCGTGCGCTCCAGGTCGTACAGCCCCGCGATCTTGGCCTCGCCGCAGCCCTGCGCCCCGGCCATGGCGGTGCCGTCAGGTGGGGACAGGCATCAGGCAGGTGCTGTGGGATGGAGGAGATGCTGAGCAATGTGGGGTGAGGGACAGGGTGCTCCCGAATTCCAGGTCCCCCAGCACCACTGACACCAGCACTGCCAGGACATCAGGTCCCCAGCAGCCTGGGCACCCTGACACTCTACCTCCCAGTCCCCATCCCAGGACCTAGACCCCCATCTGTATCCCCATCTCCAGTTCCTAGTACTCTGGGAATCTCAATACTTCCATCTTCCATCTCCTAGGGCACCCCATAATCCCCATGTCTGGGTCCTCATCATCTTGAGCACTCCAACACCTTCCTTTCAATTCCCAGCACCCCAGGACATCCTGATACCCTCTCCTCAAGATGTCCAGAACTGCAGCACCCCGGGCACCCCAATATTCCTGCCTTCAGTCCCTCATCACCCTGAGCAGCCCCATACCCCTTCTCTCCTGGTTCCCAGCATCCTCCTTCTCTCCTGGTTCCCCGCAGCCTGAGCACTTCATACCCCTACCTCCAAATCGCCAGCACCCCTGTCACCCCACACTCCCAGACCCCAGCATCCTGGGCACCCCAATAATACCAACTTCCAGATATTCGGCATCCTGGCTACCCCAATATGCTCACCTCCACTACCCAGCACCTCTGGGCACCCCCACACCTCCATCTCCAGTCCCCAGCACTCCGGGTCGCCCCCATAACGCCAACCTTCAGGTCTCCAGCACCCTGGTCACTCCTGTATCCCCATCTCCAATCCCCAACATCCGTGCCACCCCATGCCCTCACCTCCAGACCTCAGCACCCTGGGCACCCCCATGCCCCCCCTCTAGAGCCCCGGGCACCCCGATACCCACCCCTGTCACCCGGTGCGCTCCGGCGGAGCCGCACTCGCTGGGGCGCGGAGCTGCGACCGCCGGGGCTGCGGTGCCCGGGCGCACCCGCCCCGCTGACGTCAGGGCGGCTTCGGGATCGCGCCTTAAAGGGCCCGGCCCGGCGGGGCTGAGACCGGGGTGACGCTCATCACCTCCGGAGAGGCAACCCCGGGTACCGCTGTCTCCGGCAGCTCCCGCGGCCCGGCTCGTTACTGCCTGTTTGGGGTAGCCGGGACTCGGTTGGCCTTAGCGGTAACGAGGGCTGGTGATGAGCTAAACGAGCCGCCCGCTTGCCTGGATGCTTCCAGGAGGACAGGGAGAGCCCCCAGCCCGGGCTTGTCTCTAGGAGGGTCCCGCCGTTGTGGGCTCCCGCCCGGGATGCCCGCTCATGGGCATCTCTGCTGTGCTACTAACCCGCTCCACCCGCTCCCTCCCTCGCTGGAGCCTGAACCACTGAGCCGGGAGCTCAGCCCTGGCCCCCCTTTCCCCCTCGCTTTAAGCCGGTCTTTTCCTGGAAGCGGCCGCCGAGCGGCCGGCCGCCTCATTTAGCTCGTTACTGGCCATCGGGATGCGCACAAAGCAGATGTTGCTCCTGCAGATTAAAAAGCTCTCAGCGCGGCCGCCCTCGTTCCCGCTAATGCCTTCCCAGAAGTCCTGGCCCGCGGCCCCGGCGGCTGCAAACAGCCCCTAATGAGCTGTGCCGAGGGCTCCGTGCGGGGGCTGCGGCCAGCGGCGCCCGCGCAGCGCGGACTGCGGGCCCGGGCTCCCCAGGGCTGAGGAACGGAGGAGCCGGGGCTGATGGGACACACGGCACCCACCTGGGCCTCGGGAATGGAAGGGGCTGCCAAACCTGCCTCTCACCCAAGGTGACTCTGTCCAGGCATGTGGGGTGCAGGAAGCATCCAGGTGCTGTGGCAGAAGATCCTGACTGGGTGTTGTGCACTGGGGGACCCAGATGGGTGCAGAGTGCTTCCAGCAGCCACACACAGCTGGAGAAAATGATACATGGCAGATGAGCTCCTCACTGCCCCTGTACCTGCTCAGCCTGTCCCTCAAATGCCCAGGAATCTGATCATGCTGGGATGGGGGGCGTAGGAGCAGAGGAAGCCTGCCAAGAGCCTCAGAGGTGGTGCTGCAGCCAGGAGCAGTGGCTCGTGCTCTGCCGAGGACGTGTTGGGAGGCCTGGGGGGTCCTCCCGGTCTAGGAACAGCCTGGGCAGAGCCTGGGCTGTCAGCCTTCTCTGCAGGGGATGTCAGAAGCTGCTGAACCCTTCCTGTTATGTCTTATTCCCCCAGTTCCTTGCAGGGCTGAAGACACTCAAGGCCACAAGTGTTCCCCAAAGGAGCTTGGCTCTGGGGAGATGCAGGTTTTCCAAACAAGACATGAGTATGAGATGCAGTTAGCACAGGTGGAAGCCTGGAGAATCTGCAGATGGTATGTGGTTAGAAGCTGGAGGACTTCTGGAGGCTCTGCACTATGAGTGGATGCTTGCCAGGCAACATTCCCTTTGAAAACCAGTCAAGCTTAGCATGGTTATGGTGAGGAGATCGTAGCCCTGTTATTTCTGTATTTGGGAATTAGGAGATGTCCTCAGGCTTAGTGCTGGAAAGGGAAGTGGGCTGAAAAGGGAAGTGGGGATCACTTCCAAAAAATTGGGAGTTTGGAGCTAACAGGGACTGTTCCTTCCTGCAGCTGTGCAAGGCACAAAGAAGGAGCCCCCCCTCCCATGCACCATCCCACTGGCTGCCTCTCCATCCAGACAAAGCCCATTTTCCAGAGGCTCCCACCTACCTGGTGGTTAGCGAAGTCATGTGGCCACAGCACTTAATTAATAAAAAGCTGATATAAATGCCAGTAAACATGTGGGGAGGAGGACACTGAGGCAGAGAGCGGCAGCAGCGCTTCCAGCGAGCTCAGTGGAGCAGCGACAGCAACACCTCTCTGCTGGCAGAGGTCAGTGCTTGCCACGGGAGGGGTCCTGGGAGTATGTGGGATGTGACCCCACGGCTGTGGGGCTCCCCACAGTGCAGGGGGGTCTCTCCCAGTAAAGAGCTGGGTGATTTTGTGGGATGGGGAGATGAGGAGTGGCCAGCACTGGGCTCCTGGAGCCAGGTTTGAAACCTCAAGGCTGCCCAAGCAGCAAGCACAGGTTTCCAAGGATTTGGCTGACATTTGGTGGATACCACCTCTGGACGCCTTTACTTTTGCTCCCTAAGAGGTCACCTACTTTTTAGAGCCTTCAGGCCCCCAAAGCCCACAGCCTGGCCCTGCAGCTTCTCCTGTCCCCCAGCTGTGTGTGCTGTGGTGCATCTCCTGCCCAGCACTCAGATTCTAGTGGCACTTCCAGACTCAGAGCCTGGCAGGAGCTGTGTCAGATGCACACACTGTGCACCTCAGTGGTCTGGTGGCTGCTGTGTGTCGGGCAGAAGAACCTGAACTGACACAAAAAAGATCAAATCTCAGTCCATTCTCTGCTGGTCACCCCTTTTCTGTGGGGAGATCATGAATGTGCTCTCATGTGGAGTGCCCCACAGCACATGACAGAGCTTTGGGGGCTCCTGCTCCCAGATGGCTGTGGGCCCAAAAAAAGGCTCTCCAGTCCAAGGGAACAAACAGCTGGGAGTGGTGGCTGTGCTGGCAGAGGCTGACACGGCACTTCTCGGGGTGGCAGGGGATGATGGCAGTGGAGGGGACAGGCCAGGCTGCCACCAGGTGGGCTGATGCTGGCCAGGCCCCTCTGCACAGGTTGTCCCCCAGGACCATGCTGAACGTGCTGCTGCTGTGCTGTGGGCTGCTGCAGGGGATCCAGGCTGTGCTGGATCTCAGGACCGCTGACCTCAGCTGTGGCCACGTGCAGAAGGCGAGCGGCGGGCTGGAGCGGGTGGACAGAGCCCGCCAGGCCAGCCTGCAGCGCAAGGGCAAGGAGGCGTCTGCGGAGCCGGCAGGTGAGTCCTGAGCCCTGCTCCTCACTGAGCCCACCTGCTGCTTGCTGGGAAATCCAGGGCCCCAACACTGAGCTGGGGATCCCCTTAAAGCAGCACAGCTTCTCCTGGCCCTGGATAGTGACAGCAGCCTGGCAGCCCACAGGGAGTGGGGTCTTTTTTTTTTTTATGGGGACCCATGAGCAAAGGGAGAAGAATCAGAGCTGACTCTCCAGCAGCCTCCTTGTGCAGTCTCTCTGTATCTCACAGGAACTCTCCCAAGGCTGGGGTTTGAACAGATGGCCCTGGGGGTCCAAGAAGCTGATGGTGACCTTGTGCAGAGAGGCAGCCTGCTGGAACCACAGGTATGGCTCCCTGAGCTTTCTTACAGACACCCTAAGAGCAGGGCAGCCTCAGGCCACAGCAGCCTCCTCTGTGTCTCTGGGGCTGGGGGGTTTGGAGCCAGCACGGTGCTGCCTGGGATGGGACTATCTGTCCATCACCTGAGGAGCTGGGATAAGCTGAGGCTGCTCAGACCTGCAAGGGGCTCCAGCACTCAAAGGAGAGTGGTCCGAGCCTGTGCTCCTGTAATCCATTTAATTAAGCTCAAGTGTAGCCCAGGAAGCTCTGCAGAGCAGGAGTTCGCTAAGCAGTGCCCTGTGGTGGCCTGGCTCAGCCCCCAGTGCCTCTGTTTGTACAGAAGGCACAGCACCTTCTGTCCAGGCTGTGCTTCAAAATAAATGTGTGCACAAAGGCCTTGAGACACTGTGGATGAGGCACCAATGCCTGTAGAGAGTCCACAGTGCACAGCAGTGATTTCCAACAGAAAATAGAGCCTGGGGTTGAACACAACAGAAGCCTCTGCAATGCCAAGCTTCAGCAGCCGCTCTTGGCTCTCTCCCACACAATTCTTTATTGCTGGCACAGTGGTCCAGGACCAGCTCTTCCCCTCCTCTTCCTCCTCTCTCCCCTGCAGGCATCATCCACAGAGCTGCAAGCTGAGGGCCGTGAGGAGCGCTCCCCCCGCCGCTGTGTCCGTCTCCTGGAGTCCTGCCTGGGCCACCAGATCCCCTGCTGTGACCCCTGTGCCACCTGCTACTGCCGCTTCTTCAACGCCTTTTGCTACTGCAGGAAAATCAGCACCAGCTTCCCCTGCGGCAAGAACTAGCGCCCCAGGGGCTGCCAGCTGCTCGCCCCTGCGTGTGCCTCCTGCTCTGCAGCTCCAATAAACCAGCCCTTTGCAAAAGCCACTGCAGAGTGGGAATGGTGTGACGTGTCCGCTCGGGCTCTTGCGGGGTGGCAGCGAGGTGAGGATGGGCTGTGCACAGCTGGGCAGTGTCCACACATCCACATCAAACCAGATGTGCCTTTCCTGGATCCATTAGTGCTGTTTCAGCAGCAGGGGCACCTCAGGTGATGTTCTGGCTATGCTGCTGTTACCCACAAAATCGGGCTCGTTTCTTGGTGTGCACCAAGCCGATAATGACACACTCCAGAGAGACACTGATTGTTTATTTCAGAGCTGCCCCAGCCTGGGTGCTCGGTGCTGTTCCACAAATCCAGCACGCCCCACCAGGCTTTCTGAGCCATTATTTACACAGAGAAGTTCAGGGTTAGTGACTTCCCAAGGACAGCCCCTCTATTAAGATTGGTTAGTAATTTCCATAGTAATCACACAACTTAATCCAGGTAATTTCCACTCATGCTCAGGGGAAGCGTCTTCACCCGGGCAGGGTCTTTTTGACCCTCCAGGTGTGACTTTTAGTGTTACAATGAAGACAGCTCAGCTCTCAGATACATGGACCTCAAGTATTTCACTAGGTTAACAATGTACATGTAGACATACATCACCATCTTGACTTATTGCATCCTTAAAGTTTGTTCTCGGATATTCTTGAGTGAGGGGTGATGTCTGCTGCCTGTTCCACTGATTAGGTCTCCTTTCTTCCAGGTTGGGTTTCAAAGTACACAGAGGTCTTACATCAAAGAACATCTTGCCTTAATATAACCTTGACATATCCCACATTTTGCAACACCTTTACAATCAAACAAAACTATTTCATTTTTTCACAGAGCAGCTCCTGGCAAAGCCCTTTAACTGGCTAGGCATTTCCTGACTAGCAGAAGCGGTGTCTCGGCAGCAGGCGACACTGCGAACTTTACTTGCGTATCCTCCTTGTGCCTGTATCGCTCACGGCGGCTTAGGCGGAGGGAAGGGGAGGCTCACGCCGGGCGCTGTGCAGCCGGAGCGGGGGCACGGCGGGCAGGGGCTCGTGGCGGCCGCCATCGCCTCAGGCCGCTCCCGCCCCGCGGTGGCTGCCGGGAAGGGGCCGCGGCCACGTGACCCGGCCGGTCACGTGAGGCGGCGGGCGGTAGCGCTGCCTGTGCCGCTGCCGCCATGTCGTGTTTCCCGGAGCTCTACTTCAACGTGGATAACGGCTACCTGGAGGGGCTGGTGCGCGGCTTTAAGGCGGGGGTACTCCGGCAAGGCGACTACGTGAACCTGGTGCAGTGTGAGAGCCTGGAGGGTGAGTAACGGTGGAGGCCTGAGGCAAGCGGGGACAGCCCCCCCCCTCCCTCCCCGCCATCCTGAGGGGAATGTTCGGGCTGAGGGGAGATGGTGAGGGGCTGTGAGGAGACGAGGAGAGGGAAGGGGCTGTTTGGCAGTGGGGAAGAGAGCCGATAGCGGCGTTTATAAGGAGCTGTTCCCTCTTTACCCCATGGCTGGTTGGTGTTCCGTCCTGGCCCCCCACCCCGCCTCAGCTGACTCAGTTTCCCGGTCCGCCCGGCCGTGTGATTGCAGCCGCTGATACAGTGGCGTGAGGGAACTTGGGCTCCTAATGCTTTATTGAGGTGGCCGTATAGCTGTACCCTGCGGATTTTGGGAGCCTGGTGGGTTTTGACAGGCCTTGCTGGTGAGACATGTTTGTGCCTACACTCCTTAAAGGGCAGGAAGCCTTTTAAGGCCTGAAATAAGGTTATTGGTATTACTTAAGATCCCTGATATCCATGATTAGTGTTTAAGGAGATCAGGTCACCTAGGAAAGTACCTGCTGTTATTGAAAGATCGCTAGTGGAAAAAAAAACCTAGTGCACATCTGAGTAAATTCAGCAGTGAATTATCTGTTGCCTCTGATTTGGTGTTCTCTTTTGAGGCTAATTCTGGTTTCCAGCCATCATCTTTTTTTCTAGATCAATGTGTACAAACTTGCAGAACTGTGAGGATTTCTTTTTTAACTATGAAGGTGGTGAAACACTGGCAGCGGCTCTTCAGAGAGGTGGTGGATGCCCCATTATTGAAAACATTCAATGCCCGGTTGAATGGAACTCTAAACAACCTGGTCTAGCTGAAGATATCCCTGCTCATTGCAGGCAGTTGGACTGCATGGCCTTTGAAGGTCCCTTCCAACCCAAACTGATCTGCAGTTCTATCATCTGTGCTGTGGTCAGCTCATCATCTTAATTAGTTGGTGCTAAACTGTTCCTCTGATCAGTGACCTGCTTAGCAGTTTTCACTCTTTGGTGTACAGAACCTGGATCACAAATCACAAAGATTAAAACCAGGCCTTTCTTGAAATAAACTAGAAACAGACATATCCAGAGATGTTGGTTGTTTTGATCAGTGGAACTATAATTGTTGGCTCATTTTTTTCTTCTAAAAAAATAGTTAAGCATCAATGTTATCTAGGCAATCATTGCTGAGTGGTTAATTGACATTGACACTTTAGATGAAAAAAGTGGCCTGCTGAACCCTGGCCTGCTGAACCCTGGATGTAGGTTACCTGGAGTGAGCAGCTCCAGGTACTAATAGAACGGAACAGAGTGCTGTGTTGTGCCCCAGTCTCTACCTTAAAAATCCCCAGTATATTTTTACTTAGGACAGAAGCTCTTTTTCTGCTTTTCTTTCTTTTTTTTTTTTTTTGCAGCTCTTTGCTTGCAGCAGTCACTGTCATTCCTGGTGTGGAGCCCAGGGTCTGGAAGAGAGCAGTGGGAGTGACTTCTGCTCTCTTGGTAGTCACAAGTCTCAGCATGCCCTGAACTGTGACTTTTTCACCTTTCCTGCCGATAACTTCCTCTTTGGAGTCCTTCTGTACTTGGAGCTTCTCTTTTCTCTCCGTTTCTCGGTTTCTGAACCAAGCTGCCTGGTTCTCCCTTGGAGTGGTGTTGGCTGCGTTTGGAATGAGTCACGTTGGAGTTCCCGTATGTTTGCCATGGTATTGTTGCTGTTCTGTCCCCAGCAGCTCTCTGGTGGTGGCAGCTGCTGTGCTCTTGGTCACGCTTCACTCAGAACCTGGAGGCTCTTCCAAATTCACTGCCCTTCTTGTTACTCTTTCCCTTGGCTCGCCGTACCCTTTTGGAGAGAGATTTTTCTTCAAAGGAGCATTGTTCTTTATTACTTACGTAGGTCTCTGGTCAAACAATTTCTTTCCTCTGTCCTTTTAGTGCTGATTTTCCCATTTCAGTATTTGTTTTCTGTGCTCCACTGACTTTTAAAATGTTTCCTTCCCTCCCAGATGCTCGTCTGCGCTAAATCCAGGCAGTGCCTGATGTATTAGCAGCCAAAATAAGTACTGGGGCATAAATTACTGATACATTCTTCTCTTCTCTCTGTTTAGTCTTTGCTGCTGCCTCTCACTGGTCTCCTCTGCAGTTAGTCCCAGTCCTGGAGCAAGTGTTTGCCCTGGCCATAGGGAAAGCCTGAAGGACCAAAGCTGTTCTGGGTCTGGCCCTGAGAATTGAGTATCTGGCTGCTTGGAGGACGTTGTGCTTCCAGGTCTGAAATGCTGCTCCCTCTGGTGTGCCCAGATCGGTCCGGAAGCATAAAGGGATTGACTTTTCTGCTTCAGGACTTAGGCTGGCAGTTTAGTGCTGCTGGAAGGGAGGAAATCATGCTTTTCTGCATGATCCCCTGTTGTCTCTGCTTATCTGATCACAAGGTAATCTGACCCAAGCTCTCCATTGTTGAGTCAGAAACAGAGAGCCAAATGGGTTGTCTGTGGTCAGGCAGGCTCCTGAGTTGGCCATAAGAAGTGCAGAAAAATGGATTGAAAGTGTGTGTGTGTGAGAGCTGTTTTGGTTTAAGCTTTCTCTTAAACCCTTTATCAATAACACGTTTAATGCCTTCTTTCAGCTCCAAAAGTCCTGGTGCTCTGGTTGTTCCTCAGCCGGGGCCCTGTACAGCAGCACATATGAGCTGGGAGCGTTTGGAACCTGCCTGGTGGTCGCTGTTGTATCCAGTTCCTGCTTCTGACACAAGGTGTCAGTGAAGGACCTGGAGCTGCTTTCCTCTGCTCCAGTGCTGTGAGCATGGATCTGTGCTTGTGTGGAATCTGTTTGGGGCAGCCAAACTTAGGAGTCACCCAGATTTCTACTGTCAAAAGATTGGTGAGTCATCTACAGCTCTGCAAGCTGTGGTGGCCTGTCAGGGGTCTGATGTTCTGTCAGGAGAATGAAAAGCTGTTGATGTAGTTAAACAGTGGTGATGCTTTTAAGCAGCAGAGTTCAGTCTGGGACTGGAATGTTGGTTACCAACTGGCTTTACTGTTGGTCTGCAAAGTCCCCTTCTGCAAAGAGTGTGCAGAGCCCAAGAAGTACACAAAAGCATCTTAACCCAGGAGTGTCTTTACCCTTAGGTCAGTGTTCATGAGCTTCCTATTGCTACTACTACTTCTTGCTTCCACAGCAACAGTGTAGAGAGCTGCTTTCTTTCTGACTTGCCAGTGTTGTAGAGGTGATTGGTGGGTGAAATCCAGTAGTAGGATGTGTCACCTTCTAGGTGGGTGATGAGGCTGAGGAGTGGCAGGGAGTTGGCTCAAGCTTGTGGGCCTCTTTTGGGAGAGGCCTTCTGGAGACTGTGCATCTCAGCACCACCACTCTGTGGGTGCCTGTGCTCTGTCCATGCAGTTGACACAGCTGGGAGCTGGAATGCCTTGTAAACAGTGGTGTGCACTTGGAGGAGTGGGATCTGTCCATGGAGTTTGTCTTCTGTACACCAGGCTGTGTGCAGTGTGGGCTTTTGTTTTCATTGTCCCAAAGATCTTTTTTTCTCCCCTGCAGGCTCCCATTGCTTTGAGGTGTTCAGCACATCTCCTTTCACGAGAGAAGAGCAGGGGAAGCTGTGCTACCTGTCTCTTTTCCATTTTATCACTGTGGCCCTGGAATTGAGACCCCAGGAAGGTTGGAGTGAGGCTTCTCTTTCAGGATAACCACATGGGCAGTGTGTCCTCTCTTGTGCGGGGATGTTGCAGAGCTCCAGACTGACTTCAAGACTGCTTTTGGTGGAGCTCATGATATTCCCTGTGTGAAGGGGGAACAGCATAGATCCTTTCCTGTGCAGCTCCTTTACTGTGCTACCAAGCAGGGAGAGGCCACTTGATGGTCCCAAGGTGTGGCCATGCTTAGATCCATCCTGAGCTCCAAGAGTGGATCAGTCTGAACTCGGGGGCTGTAGAAGCCAGGCTTTAGTGTGCTGGGGAGTTTTCATTGACATTCACACGATGATGATTTGTCACTCTCCTCACATCTTGGAGCCCTGTGTGTAAAGCTGACCCTGCGTGTTGGCACTGTGCAGCAGAACTGACCCCTGGCCCCAAGGGCTTTCTCCTGCCAAAGGAGGCAGAGCCTACAGGCAAGGTGAGATCTGAGGAAAGTACAGAGCATTCCTGTCCTCTGAATGCTCACTTCTTGTGTAGCAACAAAACAGTGTCCAAAACGCTGTCCTGCTAATTTTGGTGCTTTGTCCTGCATCCTGTATGGGTGTAACCGCTGGCTGTGGCTGTTTCATCAACTCTCCTGTTAAATCAAGCTTCAGGAAAGCATCATTTATTGGAAGAATGATGGCACTTCCATAGCCTGCTAGATCATGGTGGCAAACAAACACTGTGGTCACTGGCTTCCTGCAGGGTTCAGCAGAGGCTCTCTGCTGTTTGTTCTGGCCTCCTTTACCAGGCAGAGACCTGCTTCATGGCTTCTCCTAGCTAAACTTCAAGCAGCAGCTGAGGTCAGCTTCTCAGTACTGGTGCAGCTTCAGCCCTTGTTTGGGTCCTGCCCCTTGTTAGATGATGATGCTGTCTGGGTTTCCTGGCAGGTATTGCTGCTTGGCAGCCAGTCAGTGCTTTCATCTTGTTTTTCCTCAGCTGTCAGCTCCTGCAGCATGAGACTGTTTTCTGCCCTGTTTGTTTTAGTTTCTCAGTGATTTGTTGCCTCTCCCTTATCCTGTGCACTAGGTGCTGGGCTGATGTCCTAACTGGGCTTCTGAGGTTACAGAGTGACTTAGAGCAGTCTGCTTTTGGAGGGGGAAAAAAGCTTATTGGGGATGCAGGAGATGAGGAGGGGTTACCTTGCTTTTTGGACAGGTTAGGAAGGGGCTGCCTAGTTGAGGGGCTCCTCATGGAACACAACCTGGCTGTGCTGGGTTTGAAGCTCTGAGTGGAATGAGTTCAGTCCCAGGAAGGGATGGGCTAGAAACACAGGCTGCTCTTTGGTGCTGAGGGTATCTCAAGCTGGTGAAAAGTCAGAGGTGAGCTACTGATGGAGGAAAGAGCCAAAGATGATGCTTCTCTGTGTCTCACTGTGGCTCAGATTTGCTGCCTGACAACAGAGAAGAAGAGGTAGCACGTCACTGCTGGTGGTGTGCAACCACAGGAAAGGTCTTAAATTCTGCAGGGAACAAAGGGTCTCTGAGTTCTTCTTGAACGAGATTTCAGAGAATCAGCTTCAGGAGTGTCTGAGGTGGCTATAAACAGACCAAACAAACAGCAACAAGGCAAATGGTAATGACTGCAGTCTCCTGAAGGGAGACGTGGGCGATGTAGCTCATCTGCAGACTGCTGTGTAATCCCTCGGCTGCTTTACTGCCTCCAGCCTTGGAGATGGCAAATGATATTTTAATTTTTATATAGGCAGTGATGGCCCCAGGTGTTTTGGAGGAAGATGTTGGGGTTACAGCAGATAATTTTTGTGAAAGCATCAGTTCAGCTCACAAGTTGCGGAAGCTGATTCTGTGCCTGTGCGTGAGAAGACAGATCAGTCCTTGCCTGGAAGTGTTTGAGCCCTGAACTTGATTCAGAGCTCTGCAATGCAGTTACAGCAGGAAAGAAGGAAGGGTTGCAAGTCTGAGCTGATGGGGCCATGGATCACTCTCTCTGAACTGGGCTTACAGGAGAGGCTTTGACTGACAGATGTCTGACAGACTAATGGCTTGGTTCCTTGTTATGTCAAAGCAAACTTGCAGGAGAGGATAGTTGCATTAGTGTGGATATAAAGTCTCTTGTGAAGATGTCATCTGAAATGTCCAGGTGTTGGCATAGCAGTGTGTTGATTAAGCTCTGGTTGTGTTTATGGCTCATGTACAGGCAGCTGCACGAAAACCAGAGGGCCTGATCTGAGAATTGATAGGAGGTGGCTGTAAGTACATGTCATGGTAATCCCAAGCACTACCCTATCCAGCTGAAAAAGACTGTCATTCTGACATACAGTTGTGTTCTTGCACGAGGCAACTTTCTGGGAGCAGTGACCTGGCCATAATTTCCTAGGTTTTGCGGGAGAGGAGAGAGAACAAAAGTTTTGTGGTCATTCAAGTGCTCCCTTGCCAAATGCTGGCTCAGTCTGTTTCATAAAGTGTGTGAACCTCTTGGAAATATGCCAGAACAGGCAAATGTATCTCTTAAAATCAGTCACTGGGTTGAGACCATGTGCTGTTGTTTGTGGGTATCTGGAGGAGCTCATCAGGAGGGGCTGGGCTCTAGCTGCACCTCTCCCTCCCTCCTTTTCAGCAGCAGCTGGGGAAGAGGCACTGCAAAGCCTTGCAGCCAGTGTCTTATCGACCTGCAGCGTGTGGGATCTCTGGCAGCCGCCCCTGCCACGGTGCTGCTCTTGCTGCCAGAGGCCAACTCCAGCTGAGTCCAAGCTTGTGTTAGGAACCTGAGCTTTTGGAGAGCTTGGGGCTTGCTCAGCAGTGAGGCCATTTATTAGTCACCGTGCTACTGGGACAGCTCTTCTGGCAGCAGGTTTGTGAAACCACGGGATTAGTTTGCTCTCATCTGACAAGCTTGACATGTGAATAGTCCTATTAAAAGCTCCCAAACCCTCTTGGCTGAAGCTTGGTGACTAGCCCAGCAGCTGGAGGAGGACAGGCTAGTGTAAAGCACTGATACACCGTGGGATGCACTGAGTCAGGGTTCATAAATCCCGTCCAATTTTTGGAAAATATGTTCCGTTTTGTCTGCTTGGATGCTAAAGGATTCAGAAAAGTTTAATTCTGCAGTTTGTGGCTGGCCTTCCTTGTAAAAATGAATTCCAAGTGTTATATAAACATGGCCCTTATTCCAGTTGCAACATAATGTGCTGGCTCTTGTGCTGTGGAGTTGGGGGCACAACCCCTTCATGGAGCAGGGCAAAATGTTCTGGCCAAGCAGCTCATGGGAGCTTGCTCAGAGCTGTTGGAGAGCCTGCAAGGCACAACGTGCAGCCTGTGTGCCTCTGGTCTAGATACACTGCAGCTCTGACTTCCTGGAAGTACAGCAAACTTCTTTTTGTGTCACCGAGTCTGTAGCATCTAGTGACATGATAGCAAAGGAGCTGCTTGCAATCTCAAAAGCAGAGTTTCAGGTTGTGATGACAACAAAACAAACCAATGGTGTTGGACTTGAGGAAACAAGCTTTGGCAGCTTCCCTACCGAAGGCAGATCTGGGAGGATATGCAATAGCTGCTTCCTCTCCAAAGTCCTGTATGCTGCAAAACAACATCACATGCCTTTTTGGGCAGACTTAGCTTCCATTAGAGCTCTGCACAACTACTGGGAACTGCAAGTAGGAGGTATATGAATGCAACTACTGCAGTTCCTGTGCCTTCCCTTGCAATCTGACCTTATGGGTATAATACTCCTACCAGGAGCTTTTCTCTCATATTCATTGAACATATTAATTGATCAGTTTTGTTCCATGTTTTCTCCAGTTTCTGCTAAAAGCAAACTAGTAAAGTCCTGATCTGTCAGAAACTTATTTTCCACTCAGACTCCAATGTTGATCATTCAAGAGCTTTAAAAAGTGGGACAAAAACTGATTAAGACATAGTTCAGGATTCATAGAGTTATTGAATGGTTTGGGTTGAAGGGACCTTAAAGACCATCTTGTCCCTGCCTATGGAAGGAGGCTTGGAACACTTTCCACTACACCAGATTGCTCCAAGCCCCATCCAACCTGGCCTTGAGCACCTGACAAACTGAGTAGTATTTAAGTCTCTGCCCTTTATTTTCCTTCCCTATAAACTCCATCTGTTTCCTGTAACACTGAGCAGTGGGAACATCTTTGTAACTACGGAGTGCTGGGTCAAAACCATCTTTACTAGAGCTCCCTGCAAATACCCAGAAGAGTCAGTTGGCTTGGAAGGTGTTTGACCCCTGATCCCTTGGGCTGAGAACAGTATCAAGCTGTACAAGCTCAGGTTGGAGCCTCAGGAGGAGCTCTCCAGCTCTCCATGGCTGGATGTAATGTCAAAAGGCCAAACTCCTCAAAGCAGGCTGAGTGCTTGCTCTGACCTCAATGCTGTGGATGCTTTTGCCATAATGCTGAGGACTCATATGGCTCAGTGGAAGTGAAAGGTCACCTCAGTAATGCTGCTTCAGAAAAAACGGGGAGAAATGTCTTCTTTTGTTTTCTCTGGATGGTGTGTTCACATCTGGTTTGACTCAACTCTTCCAGCTCCTCTCCTTACCCCATAAAGGTCTTGAATCCCTGGGAGGATGCTTGCTTGCCTAACTGGCCCTCTGAGGTGAAGCTGAAGGGAGATGAACATTGTGTACCAATGCAACGAGTAGAGCTTTGAGGAGTAGGATTGTATGACGTTCCTTAGTTCTGGATTCAGTTTTTCCACAGAGACACTTAAATGCTTTTGGCTCAAACAGTGCTTTTATCTTGACAGAACTCAGCATGTTGTGGTTGCTTGTTGGCCAGGACTGCAGCTTGGTTGGGCATCTGACCTGCAAGCAGGGGTAAGAGAGGAAACAAAGGTTTCCTCTGCTTGAAACTGGAGAAAGGGAAGACTTCTGAGCATGTTCTTCCATCCTGGGCAGGGATTGCCTACCCCTGTGGATTTAAATGGCCTTCATCTTTACTAGCTCCTCTCTACCTATTAATGCCTGAATTCTATTTACCAGCACAATTAGCTGGGCTGCTTTGATAATGTAAGACCAAGATGGTTTATAATTTCTTAGTTGCCATTTCTGTCTTTTTGGTTTTGAAAGCTTTACAAATGTCTGCACATCACTAGTATCTGGGGAGACTTGCTGTGCGTGCAGTTAGGTTCTTGGTTGTGATTTTTTTCAGAGGAGCCTCCACCCAGAGCCCTTTTGGCTAGACAGAGTGCTTAAGTTATTTGGTTTTTTTCTCCCCCTGGATTTCTAGCAAGTACTTCCTAGAAAATCAGTAAGCTTCCACCTTGACCTAGCAGAGTGAACAGCTGGCACCAGTGTGTGTGCTCAGTTACACAGATGGTGTCACAGATTTGTCTTTAAGATGAAGCAAGGCTGATATGGTGAAACACTGATCTTTTCCTGCATTTGGGTTGTCCATGATAAAACTGAGAACAAATGTAAGTGTATGACCTAACACATGGGATTTGTCTAGG